TTATATAAAATACACTGTAAAATATTATTTTAAAAATATTTTTTAATAATTAGCTTTTTTAACAAACAATCTGATTATGTATCAGGCATGAAAAAATAAAAGTCAATAGCTACAGATGCATAATTTCACTCTGATAGATTGCTATTTGAAAATAGGTTATGCCAATTAGATGATTAATTTTCTCCTATTAAATAACATTATGAGACTTCATATTACATTTATCAGTATATTCTCTTTAGTGGGAACATAATATGAAGAAAGACCAAGCATAATACAAATTTACAGTCTTTCTGGAAGGATCTGAATATACTTTTTATCATCTACACTTGGGAAAATAATTAGAAAATTAAACTCTGTTTGAAAACTTATTTTATGTTTCATATCCAAAGTAACATGCTGAAGACATAATGTGTTAAAGGTTAAACTATATGAATATGAGGAGCAAAAATCTGGATGTCCTGCTGATAATTTTTTTTGGTTCTGGTTATCTGCAAAGTATACACCCCTTGTCAGTCTAACTAGGGAGTGACTGTGTAAACATTCTTGTTTCGCCTGTTCCACATAATCGTTTCTTGTATCATATTTCTTCTGACCTCGCTATCTGAAACCAATTACAGGAGATCCATTTGGGCTGCATCTATTTTCATAAGAAGCCTAGGCAACAGTGTTTTTCTCAGAGATGAATATCAACATCAAATATGCTTCTGAGTGCTTTGTTATTTATGTTTCAGAGAGATTTTGTAGCCTTCAGCTCTCAAGAATGTGTCACGCTGTGCTGTTTATACATTGAAGATATTAATGGGCGTAGATGTCATTTTTCATTTTAATGTCTCAAATGCAACAGGCTGATAGGTTAAGCATTCCTATTTTTATGGGGAGAGATATGACTGATGTCTGTTTTTTCCCCAAATATACATATATTTACTTTGAAAAACAAGTTATTTATAAACCTTAGCATACTCAACATTTTTGGTTTTACTGGGTATTTCTAAACTATTCTCAAATAATTTTATAGTTATTGAAAGTTTTCAGTGTTCTTCAGGAGAAAAAAGTATTTATCTGACTGGTAACAAAGCATTTTCATCCTTAGTTAATTATCACCATGACCTGCTCATTAGAATTATTTTGTGAAGTTCATAACTAGCACAAACTTACTACTAGTGAAGAAGTATGCTTGAACTTTGCCTTTCTTACAAAAAATAGTTAAAATTGCACAGTAACAGGATTGATGTTTACAATGAGTATTTTAGAGCAAAATGCACTCAGTTATGAAAAATGTGCATTCCCACATCTCTGCAGCCTAACAAAATGTTTACCTTTAGTCTCTTATAAAGATTATTTCTTTTTTCAAATTTTTTCTTTAACCAGATTGCAAATTTTAAGATGTCTTATCTTAATTTTCTTTAGCTTTCCTAAAATTAGATAACTTAATTAAGTAACTTGCACCCCTAATTAAAAACAAATGTGTTTTTGGAAACTAGATATGGTTTGGCTGCCTTCAAAATCTCTTTCTTGTTTCTGATACGTTGGAATCAGACTCAGTCATTATGAAAGGAAATTTTGTAAACAACTTTTGCGTTTGTTCTAAATTAATTTTTTGTGGGGGAGGGTGACCATATGAATGATGAGATGGCTCAGAGAACTTTGTGAATGGCCTTGGATTTAATCTTTTGTTTGTATTGACGAAATGGCAAGTGATTTTTAGATTAATATTTTATATCATTCGACACTTAACACTTTATATTGATGGAAGTGTTTTTAGCTAATAATCTTTCATTTCTTGAGTAGCTATAATAATAAATTGCAAAGATGAACTAAATGTCTCTGAGCAATTGTTTATTGAAATTCAGTCCTAAAGGGTTATCCAGAATACTGGAAATAAAAATGTCATATGATGCATGCAGTGAGAATGCAAACTGCCAGAGATTCCTGCTTATAAGTTTTAAGTCATTCCTCATCTCCTGGAATTGTTTTTTGTTCTCCCGCCTCCTATGTTTACTGTAGCAATTTCTATTCTACCAAAAGAATGTTGAAATAGGCAAGACGTTCTTTTTCATAAGAGTTTGTATTAAAAGATGATCCTCAGCTATTTTGGAGATAATTATAAATGCATATGAAAATCAAAATACTTTAAAAGTAGAAGCATGTTTTAGCCAGCTATCTTGTGATGTTTCATTACTATTATTACTCTTTTATTAACAGTATAAGTGTGTGCCTTTGATTAGCGATACTTTGATGAGCAAAAATTCTAATATATTTAATATTGTAGTGTTTTTCTACAGACATTGCATAGCATTGACATATTCCATTGATTACTTGGGTTGCGTTGAATGAATATAATGCAGGGCAGTAAAATGTATGGGGTCTTAATCTTTGGAGAGAAGAGCCAGAGTTTTTGACCAGGCTCTACTGTTTTGTGGCTTCAGTCAATTTATCCTAGTACTGATTCTCCAGTTACTTGTTTACAAAATGAGAAAGGTGGGCTAGGCAGTTTCTAAGGCCTTATCCAGCTCTAGAATTTTGCAATTCTATACTAATAATTAGTCAGATAATCAGGATGTTACAAAAGTTTAGAGCTCTATGAGGTATCACAGAAGTATTAATATATAGTGAAATTCAACTTAAGAATATTGGGGGCAGTGGTCATAAAAATAATATATATTCTGTGATAGTTGTTCTATTCATTTTCAGATTTAAAACAAAAAGATTATATTGTTGTTTCCCTTTTAAGGTCTGAAAAATGGATATGCTCTTTACTGCTGAAGAATAATTCATTATAATGTCATATATCTTCTTTACTATAATCTTACTCATCGCCTACTAATGATTCCTCTGATGGAACAGAGACAATATGGCACACTGGAATGCACTCAGGCCTGGAAGCCAGGAGACCTTGAACAAAGCATTCATAAATTGTTTTGTGATCTTGAACAAAGCAATTGGCTATTCTAGGTTCACTTTTCTCATTTGCTAGAATGAGGAGATCAGATTGATGATTTTCAAGATTGCTTTTAGTCTTTATCATCCATGATTCTAAGATCCTAAACTGTGTTCATTAATATTTTTTAAGAATAATAGATAACTATATAATTTAATATAAATTAAGGCAACAGAAAAAAAAAAAAAAAAAATCAAAAAACAATGGAAAAAAAAAAAAAAAAAAAAAACTACATGAAAACCATTAGGCAAAATTTGCAGATTTTGGCATCAACTGGAAAAATAATTGAATGCATTTTTTATTTTGAGAATTTCAGAGACACAGCCTAGGACATCTATAGTAATTTCCATTTGGAAAAACATTTGTAGTTATTTTATGTTACAATTAAAAGAGGGAAGGTATAGTATTTAGAATATTGAATGAAAATTTTCAAATAGTGAGTCTTGTGATAATAAAGTAATTATGGAATTTCTTTGTTTTTTCAAACTGATCTCTTAAGTTACCTGAGTTCACTGGAATGTGCCATCCTTAGGAATATTTAGGTTAATTTGCAATTACTTGAAAAGTTTAAAAAACAACCACAAAGATGATTATCGTGGGTGAGTGTGTCTCCAACTGTAAAAAGCATGCTTTACAAACCATGCCAGATCTGCTATGGGAAGACAAATCAATGTTGTTAGGAGATGGTGCTAGTGCATTCAGTTTGTTTACTTTGGTTTCTATGTCTGCCTGCCTTCTCAGAAAACTTGCTTGGAGCCAGACTGTAGCAGCCCTCTCTGTCTTTTCATAATTGATCAGGGGATGACTGCCTTCCCTGAGGGTTAAGACGTGGCAACTTTTTCTGTTTGCTCAGCATCTCAATGCAGTAGTTCAAACATTGTTCACACCAGCTGGCAGTGTAATGCCATATGCACATCTTGTCAAAGCAACTGTTGTCATGGATACTAGAAACTCTCTTAAAAACCAGATCATTGATTACAATCAAAATTGTACTTTTATCAACTGAAATTCTTAATTATTATACAAGAATATTAATCCAATAATGTTTTCCCATTGTGAAAAATTTATCTTGTATTCAAAAGTAGTAAATAACATAGTAGGCCAATGATTTAGTTTAGTTTTATGTGTTGAAAAATTTCATCATTAGTGTTCATTGAACTCAGTTATTGGGAGAGAAAATGAATTTTTTAAGAGGCTCTGAAAAGTTTTTTTAATTAGTTTATAGTCTTACCTTTAGAAGAATTTACTATGCATTTTGTTCTGTGGCACTAGCTTTTATATGTTAAGTTTATATAGTACATTTACTGTATTGTTCCTCCTCCAGTAAATGAAACGCTTACATTAATTTCTTATGTTAAGTTTTATTTTCCTAAGTGGGAAAGAAAACATAAAAATAAATGAAAACATCTTCTATTTTGATTGGTATTCTGTCACACATAGAAACAAACCTGATTGGTTGAGTGGTAATTTCTTTGTTCTCTGATTTTGCTAAGAATGCAAATGAAAACCACTCAATTTTATTTGGCATTAAAACTGCACTTTATTTTGTCAAAGGAGAGGTTTCCCCTTGAATTGTAAGTACAAAAAAAGTGTTTTTAATCTTTAGTGAAAATCCTTATTAATTCACTTTCAAGATAATCTGATGTTGATTTGTCAAATTTAATTACAGCTTCCGGTAACACTTGAAGTCTACTGCTTTTGCCTCAAAATTGTAATATGAAAATGCAAATTGAATGATAATTTAAAAGGGAGTGGGCATTTCAGTTGAACACTCAAAGACAAGTTCCTTGCGGAAATGAGGTTATTGATGCAGTTTATGATTTATATCCTCTTTAAGCACTTTAAACAAATTAAATTTATTTCCTGCAGAACTGCATGTTTCTCTGTGATTTTGAGTAAAGTTACATATGTGTGTTTGGCAATTTTTTTTGTCAATAACGATTCTCTCTAGAAAGGAATATGGGGGTTCTTGTACATTGAAGCCTTTTACTATTAACCAAGAGGTAATTGATAAGTTAACTTTCAAAAAAATATTTAGATATGGTTTCCTTTTTACTTCTAGGCTCTCCAGGCAGCAAGACAACTTCTTTTACAGCAGCAAACAAGTGGATTGAAATCTCCTAAGAGCAGTGATAAACAGAGACCACTGCAGGTTAGTAAAGCACTCCTGTCCTTGGGGTCTTATTTTAAAAGAAGTTCATAACGATAACAGATGTGCAGACCCAGTTGTATATATACAGGAAATTATTACATTTGCATTTGTAGGTAATTTTAATTCATAAAGAGGATTCATTTTATCTTCTGAAAAGAGAAAAAAATAATTTTCTATTGGCATAGATTTCAAAAGTTTCCAAGGTAACTCCTTGCAAAAGTATTTAGGAACCATATTTGCTGTACATAGGCATAGAGAATTTTGCATTAAACTCCCTTGTGGGATTTTATTCATACATAGGTTGAAATGTGAAATTTTTTTCTTAAAAGCAAAGTTATAGTAAAATGGTATGGAAGGAAACAAAGAAGTCCTAGGCAACCCTCCCATAGTTGTATCCAAGTAAGAAAATGCAGAAAACCTCGGGGATTGCCAAAAAAACTGTTTGAGTTTGCCAAGGAGTTATTGCTGTTGCTACAGTTATAAAAACACATTCTGGAGTTTGTTGTCCTTACTCACTATGTTTGTCCTGTGAAACTGATAGTATGTATGTCTTTTAAAGTAACTTTTGTTATATAATATTACCCTTCTTTTATGTAATCTTCTTAATCAAAATCTATAGGACATTTTCTGGGGGGGGGTAAACATTTTTAAGGTATATTTTTTACTGTTTGGAAGGTAAATTCTGGAATCACATAAAACATCTCTCAAAGTGTTTACCAGCTCTGTTGAAAGATAAGTAATGCGTTTTTCTAAATCATGTGTTATGTACATGTCTAATAAGTCAAATTTAGTCTAGTTTTTTAACATCTCTTGTTGCTTTATTTGAACAAAAAATAATTTTTTATGGCCCAGATGTCTGTTTTTATTTTCAGGTGTACTCACAGATGTTAATCTTACATGATGGCCTTCTGAAGCTTAGTTTGTATAAGAGAGAATTATAAACTACTGATCTATACAATCCAAAAATTAGTTGTTACCTAAAAACTGCATAAAATGTATTATCCCTAAACAAATTTCAGATAAGAATAGATTTTCCTGGGAACAAAGTCATTTGTAGAGGGTGGGTGAGAAGAAGAGGAACTTGGGGATCAGGGATGTTTCAACAGAGTACAGATATCTGCCATGACTGGAAATGAAAGTTTTATTTAATCGGCCTGAGTTTTAAGATTCTTTCAATTTTTTTTAAAAAGCAATTTCACATTTCTTTGTTTTAACTAATGAATAATTCTTTTTCACTTTGCTCACCATCATATCCTTCCCCGATTTGTAATGGGAGTTAGGTGTAGTACTTCCATGGAGTTATATGATTCCATGAGAGTCTCTTCATGCATTTACATGACAGAAAAATTTACATAGAAGTCACAGAAGATAGCAAATGAAATGTTTGTCCTCACTATGGCTTCAGAGTGGGAATTTTGCTTTCCTGTTGGACTAGAAAAGGAGAATTAGATGTTGGCAACATAAGCAAAGTGTAGTAATGAAGTTACTGTTTTGAATGTCTAAAAAACACTATTATTATCCTAATTCTATTTTACCATATTTCTTGACAAAATAGAGGAAGTTGCAGTTCCTTCTTCCTCCTCAAAGCTAAGTCCAGTAGAAGTTTCTATATTGCTGGTTACCAGGGTATCTCTGGAAAGAATGGCTGGGCTTCAGTTTTCCTATTATTTTGTTGCTGTTGTTGTTGCATTGAAAGGCAAGATTTGATACTTGGGCTAAAATATACATACTTTTCCTTACAAAATACCCACAATAGAATGTGGGAATATTAATGGCTCTACAATAAGAAATTGTTGTTTGTTTCTCAACACATGAGGAAAATTTTGAGCACAAGTCTACAGTTTTGTTATTTTAGCATAAAATAATGATTAAAACTATTTAAATACCTTTTAACAATTGCAGTTGCTGACCATGACTACAAAGACTTTCATTGTGTCACTTGTTTTTCATTTTGTGATGCATATTAATCTGAATTTATCTCCATTGTTTAGACTGTAAAACTAGCATTTCAGTATTATTTTGTAATTTTAATGGGATCTCATGCCAAAATATCATAGGAATGAGAAGTTGGTTTTATGAATGAGAATTTAGAAATAATGAATGAGACTTATTTGTTCATCAGAATATACACTGCAGTTAATATAATGTGACCCTTCATTTTAGGTATTTCATAGGACTTGATAAGTTTAGCAACTGGAGACATGCTGGGATTGTATTAAAAAGCTAATAAAAGCTTAACAGCATTTTATACTAGCCTACACATCTTTTGTCAAACAGGAATATTAGGTAATGCTTATCCTTGTATCTTCAGATATTATTTAGCATGAGTTGCATTATATGCCACTTATGTTTTTAAAAGGAGAGAATGTTTTCATTAAGATTTTCAATAATTTAATATGAAATTAACATTTTAAATGTTTTTTTCCATGATTCTCTCAAAATTTAGAGATTTTTCTATTTAACTAAGTGTTTAACCAAACTTTCGTAATAGAGTTAGTGTATTATTTTTACATTTCAAAAGGGTAATTGAAAATATTTCAAAATCTCTGCTTGCAAGGCAAGGTTTTGGTATTAATAGATATTGATGTTTCTTAATATATCATGCATAATATCTTTATAGAATTAAAAGAGATACTTTATATTTTTATTGTAAAGTATAGTTTTTATAAAGTTTGAAAGAAAATACATAATTAAAAACCTGTTTTGATGGCTTAAGTCACAAGAACAATATCAGTTGCTTGTTACCATTCACCTGAGTTTATTTTCTATGTTAGGAAGTCCTGGCCAGATTTGAAGTGTGACATGGTACAGAGTCTATTTTTAGTAGACTAGTATTTATCTACTATTATTTTTTCATTTACATTTGTTCAGAATTTTGTGCTACAGATGGCATAGATATTAGCATGTCTAATGCAAAATGGAAAGAAAAAAACATCACATCTGACAAGCTTGAGTGCCAGTTGTATTAGTGATTTCACTTTCATGTATAGATATCTGAATATATGTATTTGAAATATGTTTACATATTCTACTCATTACATGAAACATCAATTGAATAGGTGCAATCAGTAGGTACATTGATTGATGGTATATTGATGAATAATATATAAAGATTGTGATGCAAATGGGAGCCAATATTAACTTAAGCATTACCAGATGTTTCTGCTTTACTTTCTTACTATGTATCCCAGAAAACATATCCTAATAATAACAGCAAAAGACAACTTCTTACTTAAATTTGTTTTATTTAAATCTACTCCCAGAACTTCCTAGTCTTAATATAGTCATAGTGCTCCATAATGAGGAAAGTTAGCCAAAAAGAATAACGCTTAGTTTTTTCAATTTCATGAAACTAATTTTCAGTTTAGAAAAAGTAAGTTACACACCACACCACACCACACACACGCGCACACACACACACACACACACACACACACACACAAATGCCCACATGCACACTTCCATAATCTGTAAATTTTTTAAAAATTTTGTGAAATACATTTTCAATTTTCTAGCCTATGACAAATCTACTTAATTTAGTTTAGATATGAAAATTGGTCGCATTATTGTTCTTGTTACATTTACAGCCATGAGACAGACTTGTGGTTCTTCAACAGCTGTGCAGAGCAGAGACGTAAATTTAAGGTAAATGCCATTGCTTTGCTATCTTAGATGAATATTAGTTTTTAGCATTGTAATCACTTCCTTCATTGTAGGTTAATATATAATATAAAGTTCTCCTTTCTAATAGGTGATTGAATTCTAAAATTTTTATAATTCTTTCTTAAGAAGTTCAAGAATGGAATAATAAAAAGCAAAGGTGAATTAAACTTGGGAGCCTTATTCTGACTCTGCCACAAATAGTTACATAAGTTTGAGGAATTTACTTAACATCTTTAGAATGAAGACATTGGGCTAACTGATGAACAAGATTTTAAATTTTATGGTTAAATATTTATTTTGTTTTTGTTTTGAAATGAGAGGCATCTTAATTTTTCAGGATTAGGTGTATCTTGTTGAATATTCCCTTATGAAGTAAGGGTTATGTTTTTGTTTGGTTGGTTTTTTTTTTACAAAGCATTTGTTTATTAACATGCCACATCCAGAAATAGTGCCTTGGAAACAAAGAATTAAATCCCATATGTATGGAAACCACTGTGCAAATATAATTCTGTATGTCTGAGGAAGCTTTGTTTTGTTTAATGCTTTGAAATATTATAAATTGTATTTATGAGAAATGTAAGCTACATAAAAATTATTTAACCAATTTATTTATGTCAATAATCTACATTGAAATATGTTGTGATATAATGCAGCTTAACATTATTTTTATTTTACTCTGTTATTTCATTCCAAATTGTTAAAAATAACAAAAGCTGACAAAACCAGAAATTCTGTAGTAAACTAATTAGCAATACTGAAATTGTATATTCTGTGTTAAAAAAAAAAAGAGTCAAGAATAGGTATTAAAGTTTATAATTTGTAAAATATTCTAGAGGAAAGTACTAACTTATATGGGATATAGAATTAGATATTACAAGGTGTCTTTTAGGAAATGATAAAATTTCATTTATGTGTAGTGATAATTAAATTGAATATTTCTTTTTCAATATTACTTTTAAATACAATGTATAAGAAGTAGAGAGAAGCTAAGCCACATTTTTTTCCAAATAAAAGCAGCATTGCCAGAAAAATTGAGATATAGATTTAAATAGAGCCACCTATTGTGATGCAAGATAGATATTTAAAGATATTCTTTACTATTTATATTTTCTGTGTATTGAAAAATGAGCAGGAAGTCTAGTATATTATTTCTTGATCATAAAAAAATCAATTCAAATACTATTTGCAAGAACAGACTATGTATTGTGTGGCTCTTATTTTCCCATTCCAGTGAAGAACATTTCTTAAAAGGCAGCATGAAATAGGCAAATTTAAGAGAATGTTATAGAATAAAATTTTTGTTAAACTATGATGTTTCCATCCATGACCAGCTGCTC